CGCCTGCAGGGGGGCATGCCCGACCTACTGCTATCCCCTCCCCTCTCCCGACCCGACGCGTGCTGCCCCCGCACTACGGCGCCGGCCCCCTGCGGCTCGCGTGGGCGAGAAACATGGCACACTGACGCATCCGTATCCGCGGCGCCGCGCGCGGGACACGGAGGAGCGCGCTTTCGCGGATGCCCCGCGAGGAACGTCCCCGTGCAACCGCGCATCCGCGGCAGCGCGCCCCGGAATCCGGCCCGCGAGGGCGTGGATGTGGACCGGGGGCTGCTGAACGTGCCCGGGGCCCCAGGGTGCCCTCAGCTCTTCGCTCCATCTTGTGGAGCCCCTGGGGCCGCGCGCGAGGGGCACGCGCCAGGGGCGCGCGGGAGGCCTCCCTGGTAATTCACCCTCGGGGCACCTCGGGCCATGGGCACGTCTTTGGCAACAGCCGGCCTCAGGGCGGGGGGCAGGGCGCGATGCCCCCCTCCGCCACCGGGTCGGGGGGAGGCAGGAGAGGGGGGGAGGGAGGGAACGCGGGATAGAGGAGGGAGGGCGGGGGGGTGGTACGCCGCGCGGCTTCGCAGGGTGCGTGCTCGATGGGTGCGGGGACTGGGCGTTCGCTCGCTGGGTGTGCTGGAAGGGGGGACGACGGGGGGACGAAGGGGGAAGAAGGGGGGATATATATATATATATATATATATATATACCCGAAGCGGATGTGTCCTCGCCGCTCGCGAGGCTCCTGGCGCCCTGCTGCCCCGGCGACCCCGAGCGGCCCGCCGCCCGCGCCGAGGAGGCGCCCGAGCGGCCCGAGCCCGCCGCGGCGGCGCCCGCCGATGCGGCGGCGGTGCCCCCGCCGCCCGCCGCGGCGGGCGCCGCCGCGGAGGCCCAGCCTCCGCGGGTCCCCCCGGGGGAACAGAGAACGGCGCTCGCTCCGCCTCGCTCCGCCTCGCTCCTCCTCCGCCTCCGCGGCGTCGCTGCGCCTCCTCGCTCCGCCTCCCCGCTCCTCCGCCTCCGCCTCCTCCTCATCCTCCGCCTCCTCCTCCTCCTCTTTCTCGCTCCTTCTCCTCCTCCTCGCTCCTTCTCCCTCCTCCTCCTCCTCCTCCTCCTCCTCCTCTCCTCCTCCTCCTCCTCCTCCTCCTCCTCCTCCTCCTCGCTCCTCCTCCCTCATCCTCCCTCCTCCGCCTCGTCTTCCTCGGAGCTCTGCGAAGAGTTCTCGGATCGGCGCCAGGCCCCTCTGTCGACGCCTCCGGCGCACCCTCCCTGGCGCGCTCTGCGCGCCAAGGAGGGACGTCTTCAGCGCCAATCCAAGAAGTCCGCGCGGCGTTTTTTGAGGAATTATGTTCACTGGGGGCCCAGAGGTTGACACCAACACCAACATCGGCGATGTGCCTCCACCGAGGGAAGATGCCCCCGCCATCGGTGATGGTGAGTGGCCAACGCATTACCACCACCACCACCAAAATGTGGGATCATCTTCCCCCAGTGGAGGCACCCTGGGGAGACTGGCATAGTGGGAACGGATCGATATGGTATCGGCGATACACCGCCGATAGATCGGCGACAGGCGCCTGATAGCGAATCCGCACGCTCCTGGGTGGCGCGGAGCTAACAGACCCCTACCGGTGATCGATGTGCGATTGGGCGTCGATGCGTCGCCCCCCCCCGGCGCTCACCCCCCCCTTTCGTTGGCCCTTCTTTCAAGGGAGGAAAAACACCCGGACCCGACAATTGGCGTTTACTAAACGGCCTTGGGCGTTCTCTGAACAGCCCTGCCCTGTTCGGTTCCCTCTGCGGGCGCGTTCTTGCTCACCGGCTTCGCTCGTCGGGGCGATTCCTATGGGGGTGGACTGTCTGCCCTCTGCTGTTGGTGTTGGGTGCCCCTCTCCGGGCCTCCCGGCTCGTGCCTCCCGTTTGCCAAAAGTCGTCGGCCCGACGGGGCCCGCGCATGGGATGATCACATTTTGTTCGCAGCCTCGCTGCCGGAAAAACCGGCGATCAGGGTTTCGTCGACCCCACCGTGGGCCGCAAAGCAGGCCATGAGCTCAAGTCTTTATACTCGAACACATAACGCGCGTTATGTGGCCTCCAATCCACCCACCCACCCAGTAGATAACATAACGCCCGCCGCCCCACCCACCCCCGTTGCAGCAGCGCGTGTTGTTTAGCGCACAGGTATGCTGTTCGTAGTGCGCGCGCAACGTGTCTGCAGCGAACGCAGGCATTTGCTTGTGGTATGTAGGAGCGCAGGCACTTGCTTGTTTCGTTTATGTCGTTTGGTTCTCGACGTAGGCACGCCCCGGCGGGCGACGCCATCTTCTCCCGCCGCCGACGGGCGACGCCGTGCCTGGGCACACACACGCATATGAAAACAAATCTTGTTTGTTTATCTTGGTTGTTGTCGGCCTCTGGCAGCCTTCTCGTCGCCACAGCTAATGCCGCCTCGAAATGCAGGCCAGAACGCACGCCTGGATGTGCCCAGGGGCCCATTTGCGGAGAGCATGTCAATCGGGCGGCAAACGGATCGTTTTTCCCTCCGAGGGCTACGATGATCATCATGATTGCGGCGGCGATGAAAACGACGGCAATGATGATGCTCCGTGGAGAAGGTTGGGCGAATAGCACCAGCGTGACTGTCTGCGAGGCACGCCCGGGGAGCTCGCTCGCTCGGAGGGCAGAAAAAATCCTGGAGGCCCACGTGCACGGATGGGCGAAAGTGCAAGGCCGTCGGCCTGCTCGGGGAGCTCGCCGACTCGGAAGGCTGAGAAATGCTGGTGGCCCACGTGCACGGATGGGCGAAAGCGCAAAGCCGTCGGCCTACAGAGGGAGCCCGATCGCTCGGAGGGCAGAGAAAAGCTGGAGGCCCACGTGCGCGGACGGGCGAAAATGCGAGGACGTCAGCCTAGCTGCGTGAACACCGAGCGGCGATATGCAGGGGCCCACAAGTCTGCGTACAAGTCGAACGGCGTACAAGTCTGCGCACACGTCTACGATTCGGCTCACGAGGCGATCTGCAGGGGCTCGTCGTTGCTGCCGCGCAGACTCTTCTCCATGGCAAGGACCTTTGCATAGTCCCCACCCTTGGCACGTGCGAGGTCCAAGAATTCATCGCGCTGACATTTGCGATCGCTGAAAGAATCTTTCAACGACAAAATCAGCTTCTGATGGCCGTGGGCCTCCCGCCCGCCGCATGGCACTGACAGCCACAGCAAGTGGAGCCCGAGGACGCCTTTCTTTGCAACCCTATCCATTTTGCACCCGCATTTCTGCCACCGCGCTTGCAACGGTACGCGCGTGTCAGGCCCTCACGCCCCTTGCGAAGCAACGTTCGCCAGCGTGGACCCCTGACAACGTTGTTTAGCCATCTATATGGTGCCACATACGAGGCGCAAACTATGCGGTGCAACCTACGTGAGTATTATATATGGTGCAATCTACCTGCTGCTACTACTACTACGACGACGACCACTACTACTAGTAGGACTACTACTACTACCACTACGACTACGACTACGACTACTACTACTACTACTACTACCACCACCACCACTACTACTACTACTACTACTACTACTACTACTACTACAAATACTACTACTACTACTACTACTACGACTATTACTACTACTACTACTACGACGGCGACTACTACTACTATTACCACGGCTACGACTACGGCTACGACTACTACTACTACTACTACTACTACCACTACTACTCCTACTACTACTACTACTACGACTACTACTACTACTGCTACTACTACTACTACTACTACTACTACTACTGCCACTACTACTACGACTACTACTACTACGACTACTACTACGACTACTACTACTACTACTACTACTACTACTACTACTACTACTACTACTACTACTACTACTACTACTACTACTACTACTACTACTACTACTACTACTACTACTACTACTACTACTACTACTACTACTACTACTACTACTACTACTACTACTACTACTACTACTACTACTACACTACTACTACTACTACTACTACTACTACTACTACTACTACTACTACTACTACTACTACTACTACTACTACTACTACTACTACTACTACTACTACTACCACTGCTATTACCACTGCTACTTGTACTGTAAGTGCGTGCGCATTGCCGCCGGGCCCCAGGCTCTGCGGTGCTCGCGCGCGCTGTGTTCACAGGCGTTGTGGCGTTCACACGGGTTGTGGCGTTTTCTGGTTATGTCGCGTGCACAGGCGATGCGGCATTCACGGGCGCTGTGGCGTTCGCAGGCGCTACGTTGACAGGCGCTTTGGTGTTCACAAGCGCTGTGGTGTTCACAGACGCTGCGCTCGTCAAAAGCATTGTGCCGTTTACGGGCACGTCGCGTTGATCGGACCGCAAACTATTGTGGCGCTGGACATAGGCGCGTCGTGGCTGTCGGGTCGCAAGCGATTTTTTCGCTGGCGTACTACAGGTGGTGTGCACGTTGACAGCTGTATACACAGGCGCTGTTGTGCACCCGTGCGTTGCGACGTACGCTGACGATGTTGTGCACGCGTAGGTTGCTGCATCAGCATGCGTGGTGTTCGTGGGCATTGCGGCGCTGTGTAGCACTCGCAGCTGCTAGGCCCTTTCGTTGCATGAGTGCTATGACCAATAGCAACAAAGGGCAGTCCTTCCAGCACAATCAGCATTCGAGCGGCCAGGCGCGACTGCGTTGTGCGCGCGGAACGTGCTGCTGTGGGCGCAGCAAAGGGTGTGACAAAAACTTTGTGGTATGGCGCGTTTACAGTCGTATGCGCAGTTTCTGTGGTTTACGTGATCACTGCCATGCGCCATGCACTGTGGTGTACACGCGCGATGTGGTGCGCGCATAGGCTGCTGCATCAGAATGTGTGCATACAGCCATTCGAGCGGCCGGGCGCGGCTGTGTTATGTTATGTGCCAGCGACCCCACCCACCCACCCAGCCACATAACGCGCGTTATGTGGAATAATAAAAACTTGAGCTCCATCCAAAGTAGATGTCTGCGAGGCCACCACAATCCACCAACCCCAACAAAGCCTTCCTGCGCTGCGACGGAACTCTCAACCTTCTGAGCTGCTCCAGGTCCGGCGCTGGGGCAGAGCGGCGGCGGCGGCGGGGTGACGCCGCGGCCCGTCCCTCCTGCGGCGGGCGGGCCTCCGGCGGGCCCCGCGGGCGCTCGGCTGCCACCGCCCCGGGCGGGGGAGGTCCCGTCCTCGCTGCCCGCCTCGCTCGGCAGCCTCGCTCTCCCTGTGAGCAGGGTTGAGTCGGGCCTGTCCCTCTACAGGAGGAACATTCAAAAATAGTCAAAAAATAGTATGGGGACTATTTTTTGAATTTTTGTTTGATTATTTGGGAGTTTTTTTTGAGGGGGGGTATTTTTAGTTTTTCGTCGAAAATCTCCCTGTAGGGGACACGCCCGACTTACGAGTAGGGCCGAGGGTCAGAGAGCGTCTTCCTCTGCAGGACCACCCAAAAGGAGACGTCAAGGCGGTCAAACGCCTCGGCGGTCAAGCCGACGAAGATGTGCAACATCCAACCGTTCGGTCATGGCCAAAGTTTTGGCTTGACGCCAGGTGTGGTGCATCAACTTCAGCTTGACCGAAGAACAGGTTGGTTGCGACCCTTGCCTTCTTCTTGGGGCGTTCTGCAGACCTGACCCCCCAGCCGTAACCTCAACTCTCCCTCTTCCCCTGTCCTTGGGCCGAGTGCTCGTGCAGGTGTGCTCATTGTGGCTTCGCAGGGCGGTCCTGCTCGAACCGTGGTGCAGAAAGATGGGGTCCCCGGCGGACCCCCGGTCCTGATTTTTACGCTACGTCGGATCTCAGGGTCATCCACTCGGCGAAACGTAAGACTCGAGTAAGCCGGAACTCGGGTTAGCCGACGTTTTTTGACGAGCGCATCCTGGATTTTGACGGTCCAGTTTTCGTGTGATGTTTGCAGCGGAAGCTCGTGTCAAATTTCAGATTGGGTCTCGTCATTTTTGATGATGGCCCCGTCAGGCCAACCCGAGTCCCCCGTACCTGAGTTTTACGTCTCCCTCGCCCCCCCCGCCCCCCCCCGGCCCGAAAGACCAGACGCCAGGGTCTCGGAGCCCCACGCCGCCCATTCCCTGCGGGTGCGGTGGTCCCCTCCCCCTCCCCCGGGGCTGCCGCAGCCATGCCGCAGGGGGCGCAGGTCGGGGTCGGAGCAGGAGGACGAGGACGAGGAGGAGGAGGACGAGGGGAGGAGGAGGAGGAGGAGGAGGAGGAGGAGGAGGAGGAGGAGGAGGAGGAGGAGGAGGAGGAGGAGGAGGAGGAGCGCAGGTCGGGGTCGAAGCCGGCGCAGTGCAGGCCTCCAGGCCTCGCGGCGTGGCGGCCTAGCGGGCTCGAGGCTTCGGCGGAGGCGCGCGCTTGCGGCCCGGCGTGTACAGAGGGCAGCCCCGCGGCGGCGGGTCTGCCCGCGCGCCCCCGCGCACACAAAAGGGCTTCCCCGCGCAGTTGCCAGGGCCTCCACGTGGAGCCGGAGCAGAGCCCAGGCATGTTGCACGGCGTCGTTTCAAAGATCACCACGGCAGGCTTTGGGCCGTTTCCGGCCTACGGGGGCCCTCATCGTGCCCCAGGACCGTCAGAAAACGACTCGGGATGAGTCGGCGGCGACGATAGGGACGAGAATAGCCCACGGGCAGACACTACACGCATCCCGCCAGGGAGCCTCGCCGAAGACATGGACCATCGGCACTCTTGGATACATGTATTGCCCCCCCCACCCTGGGCTATTCGCCCCTATCGTTGCCTCCGAGTGAAAAACCAGCCCCTGGGGAAAAGGTCGGGCATTCGGGGACCCCGTGCTGAACGAATCACGGCATCGCATTGCAAGGTTTCTCCGAAGGGCTTAGGCGACCCGACCTCCTCCTCCCTCCTCCTCCTCCTCCTCCTCCTCCTCCTCCTCCTCCTCCCCCCCCCTCCTCCCCCTCCCCCCCCCCTCCTCCTCCTCCTCCTCCCTCCTCCCTCCTCCTCCTCCTCCTCCTCCTCCTCCTCCTCCTCCTCCTCCTCCTCCTCGGGTCGCCTGCGGCCCCGGGGGAACCTGAGCACGTCGCCTGTCTGGGACGGGGTCGGCGGATCGCGCCGCACCTGCGCTGCACCCGGCGGCGAGGCGGCGCGAGTCGGAGCCCGAGGCTCTCCGTGCCGACGTCGCCGAGGCGTCGGCGATGTGGCGCGGACCTCCGACCCCGGCCCCACTTCTCTGACCCTCCAGGAGGGCTAACATTATTATGTCGGGCCTGTCCCCCTACAGGGGGATTTTCGACGAAGAATAAAGATAGCCCAAAAATACCCCCCAAAGGCCAGAAGATAATCAAAAAATAGTCCCAAGACTATTTTTGGACTCTTTTTCGATTATGTTTGGGGTATCTTTTATTTTTCGTCGAAAATCCCCCCGTCGGGGGACAGGTTACGGCTAAAAAATAACACCAGATTTAAAGAGTAGGGTGATCCAGCTTATTCACCAGAAAGAATTTCGAGCGCCAGAAAACTACCGAAACTCCAGGGTTTTCACGTGTCGGGCCCTTGTAGACACTCGTCCGACATTGTTTCGACACTCTTTCGACACTTTCCCGGGTGCTCGAACTTATTTCTGGGATGTGGTCCTTAAGTACGATGGGAGCAACATAACAGGGGGGCTAAAACATAGCACCAGATTTACAACCCATCTCACAGCTATTCTACGTCCTAGTTTTGGGATGTTTCGTTTAGTTCTTCAGGTTTTGAGGCCGCCAGCGCTAAAAATAGCTCCCTTTGACTCCCTTTGGGAGACCTCTACTGTTGCCCCGGCCCTATTTTGGGGTGGACTTAAGTCGGGCCTGTCCCTCTACAGGAGGAGTATTCAAAAGTAGTCGCAAAATAGTATGGGGACGATGCTTTGATTATTTTTTAGCTAGTTTTGAATATTTTTGGTGTACCTTTGATTTTCGTCCGAATGCGCCTGTAGGGGGGCGGGCCCGACCTAAGGGTGGACAGAACCCCCACCCTGACAAGCCGATTCGTGAATTGTCCGCTGCCGGTTCCCGAGAGGGCGCCGCGGGCGTCATTTCCCAGGCGTGCGCCCGCCAGGTTTGGGCCCGAGGTCGGTGCCATTGAACCGCGTTTTGCTGGAGGGGGTCCTGTCCATCCCCGCGACGACGCCAGCTATGCTCCAGCGCCGATCCTTGCCGTGCCCGATCTGGGCCCATCATCGGCGCTCCCTCCCTCCCGTCTTGGCGAGCATGGGTGCACAGTGGGGGGCCCATGCCAAGAAGCACCCTGCCCTGCTTGCCTCCATGATGCCGTGGGTTGCTGCTTTTTTTTTTCGATGGTTCTGCCACGGAAAGCGTGACACCCCCAGGCCGAAAATCAAGGGACGTCCTGGGGCCTCAGGGTCGGATTTCTCGCGGAAGGTCTCTCGTGCACTGGCCCCCACTGCCGTGTGAAGATGTACGCCAAGCCTGGGCGCAGCTTGGGCCTGGCCAGGGTCGGGCGTCGGCCTGCAGCTCCTCCGGCCGCCCTGGCGTCCGGGGCTGGTGCTGCGAGGTGGCTCTCGCGGCCCCCCGACGCCCCCCCCCCCTCGCCTTCTGGGCCCTCGGGGGGCCTCCGCCGCTGCGGCTGGGCGCGGGGTGGGGAGCAACGTCGGGGATTCCTGCCCTGACCTCCCAGGAGGGCTTAAAAATAGCATCCGACTTAAAAACCTAGCCAAAACCTATTCTACGTCTTGGTTTTAGGCTGTTTCGCTCCGCTTTTCAGGCTTTTAGGCCTCCAGGGCTACAAAATAGCTCTCTGGAAGGTCAGGCAAACGTTGGGGATTCCTGGAGGGGCTCGGGGACCGGTGTCGACAGCCGCGCGCTGCGCACCGAAAGGCTGCGACGGATTCTCTCTCGCCTGCCGCCTCCACGAAGCCTCCGGGCCGTCCCCTGCCGACGACCGACGTCCACGGGCCCTCCGCATCTGGGGACGCGCTGGGGCCCCTCTTCGGCCTCCCTCCGGACAACTGGGCGAGCCCAGACCGGATTCCGCGGGGCGCACTCCGTCATTTTGGCGGCGCGCAGAGGGGGGTAGGGGGAGGGGGGAAGGCTTCTCAGAAGCACCCCTGCTTCTTAGAAGGCGCGGGCCTTCTCTGTAGATGTAAGGCCAGCGCCTTCTAAGAAGCAGCCTCCTTCTAAGAAGCCTTCCCCCCCTCCCCCTACCCCCTTCTGCTCGCCGCCAATCATTGGCGGCAACCTCTTTGGCGGCACCGCCGGCACCGCCCCCTCGGCGCGCTCTGCACGCCAGGGAGGGGGGGGGGGGTCACCGAGCGCGTTCCACGCGTCGCAAAGTGCCTACTCGCAAGCGTCAGAAAAGAAACCACGTTCGCCTCGAGGTAATACATCGTGAATCCCCCACGGCGGATCCAGGCCATTTGCGAGTAGTGACTTTGCGAGTAGAGCGACGCGCCGGGCCTAACAGGCCCGGCGCCGATCTCCGAGAGCCCCGCGGGCCTCCGAAAAAGTCGGTGTCTGTGCAGGTGCTCTTCGTCTGTGGAGGCTGCCAGCGGGCAGCCCCGGCCTGTCGGGTGCGGGGCCCCAGCGGTGTTGTGCCAGGGGGCCGAGAGTCACCGAGCGTGTTCCACTGCTCGCAGAGTGCCTACACTCGCAAACGTCAACAAAAAGCACGTGCCTTCCTACACGTCATGGAGCGTGAGTCCCCCGCGGGCTCCTGCGCGTCATGGATCGTGAATCCCCCCGAGGCGGCTCCAGGCCATCTGCGAGCAGCTGCTTTGCGAGCAGTGTTAGGTAGGTCGTGTCCCTCTACACGAGGAATAGTCAACAAATAGTCTAGGGACGATTTTTTGACTGATACTGCGTGTTTCTGAATAAGTTTTGAGTACTTCTTTCTCATTCTCTGTCCCAAATCCCCCCGTAGGAGGACACGCCCGACCTAAGAGTAGTAGCTGCTGTGTGCGCAGTGGAGCGCGCTCGTCCGGACAGGACGAGGCCCGCGGGCAGGGTGGCGGCGGAGGGGCCGGGCCTTGCGCGCGGGGGGCGGGGCCCGCCCTTCTGTGGCAGAGGGGCCCGCTCTCGTGTGAAGTCGGGCGCGCCCCTCTGCAGGAGGAGTATTCCAAAATAGTCAAACAATAGTCCGGTTTTTGTTTCAAACTATTTCTAGTATTGTCGAGTATTGTTTGAGTCTTGTTAATTGTTCGTCCAAAATCCCCCTGTAGGGGGACACGCCCGACTTGATTCTCGTGACTGTCTGCTCGTGGCCTCCTGTGCTGCCCCTCCTCGGCCTGCTCGTGCTCGTCCTCCTGCTCTCCGGGATCCAGGCCTCGGAGCAAACACAGCGAACACTCATGCCACGTTCATCTGTCAACGCCCCCCTCCCCCCAATGTTCAAAGTTGGCGGTGGGTCTGATGAGCTGCACCTCGACCGCAGTCTCCCCCGCGCGTGCCCTCTTTGAGTTTGGAGGGGAGGGGGAGTGTTCCGTAACTGTGTTCCTCGACCGTCTGTGAGCATCCACCGTTCTGGCCAGGCCTGCTCTCGGCCCAGGAGCGGTGCCTGTCGTATGCCTTTCCTGGCCAGGTGTAAGTCGGGCGTGCCCCTCTACAGGAGGAATAGAGAACAAAGTAAAACACAGTCGGGTGTTTTTTGTTCGACTCGTTTTGACAATGTTCTAGTATTCCTTGACTAGGTTTCGTTTTTCGTCTAAAATCCGCCTGCAGGAGGACATGCCCGACCTCAGGCCAGGCCGGGGGGAGGGGGGGCGAACACGCCGCGCCTGGGCCAGGGATGTGGGCCTGGCCAGGTGCGGCCGGCGTGCACAGAGCCCGTCGCCCCGGGCTCCGCCTGCCGGCACACCGCACACGCTGCGGTCCCGCACACGCTGCGGTCCGGCTCGGCGAGACCATCGCCGCGGCCTCCCATCCGATCCCTGACCTTCAGAGAGCTACTTTTTAGCACTGGAAACCTAAAAACCTAAAAATCGGAGCGAAACAGCCTAAAACCAAGACGTAGAATAGCTCTAGGATAAGGTTTTTAGGTCGGGTGCTATTTTTTAGCCCTCCTGGAAGGTCAGGGATGAGGCGCCGACCTTCGGTATCGTTTGACCGGTCCCCATCCCCACTCCCATCCCCCGTCCCGATCCCCGCCCTCCCACCACCCCAGTTGGGGAGATGCCCCTCGAAGCCCGAAGGGAGCCGCCTGCAGCCCCATCTCGGGGGTAGATCGGCTGGTGGGGCCCAGGCCTCGCCAGTGGGGAGAGGGATCGGTCAGACGATGCTCGGACCTGCCTGCCCCTGCCCACCGTCTCGCGGCTCGCCCTCCAGGCCGCCGCCGCCGGCCTCCCCCCGCGCTCGCGGCCTCCCGAGGCGCGGTGCCGCGGAAGTTCCAGCGCCCGCACGACCGCGCGCTTCCGATGTGGGACCTCGGGAACATGCTGCGAGGAGCTCCCCCCTTCGTCCTCGTCGTCGTCGTCGTCGTCGTCTTCATCTCTCCTGCCCCTCCTCCTCCTGCTCTCCCTCCTCCTCCCCCTCCCTCCTTTCTCGTCCCTTCTCACCGGCCGCATTCTGGGGAGGGCACCTCCACCGATCCATGGATTTGGCGACCGCGCGCCAAATCCATGGATCGCTAATCCATGTTTGCGCGCCCCCGAGGGAGGCGGGGAGGGAGAGAAACGCTCTGCATGGACTGGCAGGGCGAAGCAGGAGAGGGCGGAAAGTTGCCAGGGGCCTCCGGCACGTCTCCTCCTTTGTGGAACTTGTCCACAGCTGGTGACCGTGAAGCTTGACTTCCCCCCGCAGATGCGCGGATGTGACACATGCCGTTTCAAGATGTGGCTCTTCCCTCAGCCATCATCAATTGCGCCTCGCACTTCGGTAGAGGGAAACAATTAGTGAACACCCCCCCTGCCCCCCAAACTCACAGTTGGCACGCGGGGGGGAGACTGCGGTTGAGGTGCAACTCATCAGACACACCGCCAATTTTGAACATTGGGGGGAGGGGGAGGCGTTCACATATGAATGTGGCATGAGTGTTCGCTATTTTTTTCCGAGGCCTGTTCCTCGTCTAGTTTGCCATGATGCAGCACCGACCGTTTCCAAGCTGAGATTCCGTCGCCCCAGCGCTGCGCACAGTCGTCCTGCAAGGATCCAGCAGATGTAACTGCGTGTCGAATCGAGAGAGAAAAAGAACACCCGGACCGGACAATTGGCGTTTACTAAACGGCCCTGGGCGTTTATCAAATAGCCCTGCCCTGTTTGATTCTGCGTGTCGTGGTGGTTATTATGGGGGGGATTTTTGACTTCTGTGGAGGGCGACTCGATTTGAAACTCTCGCCCTGGCCTGGCGCCGCGCGCAGCTGCCTGAAAGACTTGCAGCAGTTCTGCGGATTGAGGTCGCACCGTTGTCAACTGCGTTTAATCGCCCGAGCGCCGCGCACTCTGCCCGCAGAAACGCTGGCAGCGGTTGTGTGGATGGAGGGCGGTTCGTTTTCGCAAGGTGTTTTTCTCGAGGAGCAAAACTTTGGCGTAATCATGCCCTTTCTGGTGATCGTTTTTTATTCACTGTTTTGCCGATCGGCGCGGGCCCTCGCACCCCCCCCTTCCCCCCCCTCCATGGAGTAGATCTTGGCTGCTTTTGGGCGCCCCTTTCGAGGAGCAGGTGGAGCCTCTCCCCCCCCCTTGGACGCACGGTTCCGAACAACCGCATTAAGCAGAGGTCCGTAGCCAGACCACCCCCCCCGCTTCACCCCCCTTTCCGCCCAATGTCGAAACGCCGGAAAGAAAACACGCTCACTTGGATCGGCGTTGGGCCCCTGGCGGCGCCTCCGCCGACGCCCCTGGCACGCTGCCTGCGCCAGGGACGGGGCCCAGCGCCCATCCAAGAAAAATCAGCTCGGACCTCCGAAAGTTGATGCTCATGTAACTTGTTGTTCCGCGACTCTAGCTTTCCACGTCGGAGGATCGAGGAGGAGGATCTAGGATGAGGATGAGGAGGATCCTCCTCGTCCTCCTCGATCCTCCTCCTCCTCCTCCTCTTCCTCCTCCTCCTCCTGGATCCTCCCCCTCCTCGATCCTCCTCCGTGCTCCTTCCGGACGGAAGCAGAGAGCTGCCGTGCCCGTGCCCCTCCCGAGAGGCAAGGCACGCTCCCGCCCGCCGCGGCCGCGCGGGGCACGCCACCCCGATCATTGGATTCCGGGCTGTTCCAGTCGCGACCGACGCCTAGCAAGCCACAGTACAGGTCGCTGCCGATGTTGCGTCAAAGTGCGTTTATCGGTCGCGACCGATTGGCTGCTCAGTCGGTCGCGACCGATGGCGACCGGGAGCATGCGGTATCCCAGGATCTGGGGGTTGGGGTCGAGGAGGAGGCTCGAGGCTCCAGGCTCGAGCGTCGAACTCGGAGGATCGGAGGCCGTTGGTCCATCTTGGGGTTTCTCGTCGCCACGGCCGGATTCGCTTGGAGAGTCTGGTCAGGGCGCTCCCCAGGAGGGGTCGGGGCTCAAGGCGGGCACGTCGGGCATGTCCCCCTTTCCAGGAGGAATATTCGCGAATCGTCAAAAAATCAGATGGGGACTATTTTTGGCGTATTTTCATTATATATATATATATATAGATATGAATGTGCCCCGAGTTTCGTAATAAGCGTCGGGGGGGCGTCACCCCCGCCGACAGCCCCACATCGACCCCCGTCGCGGGCAGCCACCGCGCGCCGAAGGCGCTCTGACCACCGTCGCGGCGCGACGACGAGGCGAGGTTGACCCCCGTCGGGGGGGTACCCGCATACGCTCATTACCACTTGGCATCGCTTGGACGTGTGCATTTTTTCGGCGAGGACCATTCTGGACCATCGAGCAAAAAAAACACGCACGAAACCAGAAAATGCACGGGAAATGGACGTCCGAGCGACCGCAAGTACCAAAGTATATATATATATATATATATATACACACGGACTAGTCCTGATGTTCTCTCCAAAATCAGCCTATATGGCGTCGAGGCTCGGTGCCCTGCTGCCCGAGGCCCCTCCCCGGCCCGCGGCGCCAGCACGCGGCCTCCCCGGTCGGCGTTTGGGGGCGCCCCCGCTGGGGCCCTCGGGGCCGCGCGACGCTGCGGTGGGCTGAGAGTGCCCACGCGCGTCTCGCCAGGTTGCGCCGGATAGCCTTATGTCGGGCGTGTCCCCCTACAGGGGGATTATCGACGACAAAAAAGCCCAAAAGTCAAAAAATAGTCCCAAAGTAGTCCAGGGACTATTTTTTGAGTAATTTTGGACCTTTTTGGTTTATTTTTGGGGTATGTTTTATTTTTCGTCGAAGAACCCCCCTGTAGGGGGACACGCCCGACTCGCCAGGTTGCGCCGGAGAGCCCGAGGTGCCCCGGGCCCGAGCTGCCCCGGAGAGCTCGGGCGCCCAAGCGCGAGCGCTCGGGGGGGGTCCCTGCCCCCCTCCCTCTCAGGAGCGGCAGAAGGACGTACACGTACATGAATCCGCGCTGGTTTCGAGAATACGCATTGCCCGAAGGTTCGTAACACGCGGCCGGTCTCGCAGATCGAGGGGCCGTGTTCATGTACATGTACATAGCTGGGCGCGTACGTCCTTTGTGGGGTCCCTACCCTCGTCGTCGAGGTCAGAGGTTGGGCTGGGGGAGCGGGAGAGGGCTCGTGCACACCACGCCGCCCGCGGCGCGCGGGCTCGCCCCGAGGCGGCGGCGGCCTCCGACCCCAGGAGCAGTGCGGTGCATCACTCGTGCAACCGCGGGCCCGAAGCAGCCATGGGGAAACGAAGAATAATGACATAAACATAGAAACTCGGAGGTCCGCGCCGATTTCTCGGATCGGCGCTCGGGCCCCCTGGCGGCGCCTCCGGCGCCGCCCCTGGCGCGCTCCGCGCGCCAGGGAGGGGGGTCCAGCGCCGATCCGAGAAATCCGCGCGGACCTCCGAGTTTCTATGTTTATGCCACTTTCTGTTCCCCTCAACCAATCGTGCACCGTACAGCCGAGTGGTTGTTTTTTATTGTTTGTTTTGCCGAGCTGTTGAAGTACGCCGGACCAACATGTATACCCCTTTCCTCTACATTCAGAGTTGACGGGTTCAGGCGGCAGGCCAGAAGCCAGGGACAAGATGTGGGCCTTGAATTCTGGGTTTGGGGGGAGGGGTGCGAAGCAAGGGCATCTCGCAGTTGTGGTTGTTATCATGTTGCATCGCCTTCCCGCCATGGGTGTGGACACTTGTTGTCCAGGCGCCAGAGGGGTGCTCGGAGAGGGCCTCGGGCGCGTCCCTCCACAGGATTCATGTATATACAAGACGGCAGTGGCGCTTCGCGCCATGCACCTTGGTCCTTGAAGTTTGGTATGCAGGCGGAATAGCAGGAAGGTCAAGCCGACAATTTAGCGATAACTCCTTGTTGCCTTCTCCTGCATCGCCGCTATAAATGTTATTCGTTGTCTTTCCTCCATGCTTATTTTTAGACATTTTCGCCATGCCCTGCGCATTTGTCCCCATTATCCTCAGCTCTTTTTTGCGGAAGCTCCTTGGAGAGCCTCTGGGGGCCTCACAAAAGTTGTTTCAGGCTTTCTTAAGGTCTTCTGGAGGCCTCCTGGGCGTATTCTAGGGGCCTCTGGAGGCTTCCTCGGGCAACCCTGCCTCCAACCGCGGTCTCCCTGAACGACCGGGTCACGATTTGGAATGCTTCGGAGGGTGTCTTGGGGCCATCTTGGGCCGCCATGGGGCTCTTTGAGGACCATCTTGGACCCGTGTTGTGCCGTTTTGGGGCTCTCTTGGACTGCCTGGAAGCCCTTTCGGACGGTTGTGGGGCGATTTTGGAGCTTCCCAGGCGGCGTTGGACGCCCAGAAGATCGCCGTCTTGGAGCGTCGGGAAGCCGAAAAGAGGAGAACCCCACAATTCACCAAAAACCAACAGAAGATCTATGATTTTTGCCTCTTGGGGCCTTCTTGGGAGTGCTCGTGGAGGCCTCTTTGGGGCCGTCCTGGAGGCCTCTTGGGCCGTCTTGAGGTCACGTCGGTCACTCTTGGAGCGCTCTTGTGCGGTCTTGGGGGTCTCTGGGACGTCTCCGATGACCCCCCTGATCGCCCGAGGTGTGCTGGGAAGGCTTGGCAAAACGCCCTGCGAGGCCCGGGGGGGCGCCTCGAGGCCCGTCCGGAGGGTCCCAAAGCCCCAGATCCCGGGAGTCCGCTTTTGGGGGGGGGGGTCCCCGCGCCCGGGCCCGGGCTTGCCAAAATATAGGAAGAGGAATCGACGTGTGTGTACGTATATGTGTATATATATATATATATATATCTCTCTCTCTCTCTCTCTCTCTCTCTCTCTCTCTCTCAAAAATTGTCAAAGATTAGTCTGGGGACGATGTTTCGACAAGTGTTTGTAACCGTTGTTGAGCATATTCCTGGGCTGCGTTTTTGATTTTTCGCTCAAAATCCGCCTGCAGGGGGGCATGCCCGACCTAAGCCGCGTGAGGGGTGCTCGGAGAGGGCATCCCCGAGTCCCCTTCGGGCACCGTGGGCCGGAAGCACATTTGGCAACTTCGGCCCGACTGATCCTTCGCCCCTCTGCCCTGCGTCCTCCCCTCCCCCCCCTCCCGGGCAGAGCAGCATGCACCGCGACGCCGGCGCCGACGCCGACGCCGCCGCGGACGATGACGACGACGGAGACGAGGCGCGCTCACGGTCAGCACTGAAGCACGGAAGTATGGAAGGGCTCACCTTGCGAGGTTTGGTGCGCAGCACAGCGTCGTTGAGAGGTGGCGCGGTCTCCCCCCAGCAGGTCGTTGGGTGCGTCGGTGGAGCTTCGGGGTGAGCGCACGGCTTTGGCACTGGTTCGCGCTCCGAGGACGTCTGGGGCGACCGGGGCCTCCAGGTTCCAAAAGCCGTGCGGTGACGGAGCATGCGGTGAGGTCTTCTAGGATTTCGGGGTCATCGCACCTTGCGCAATGTGCCAACCTCCGCCGACCCGTGGCAGATCTCGTGGTCTCTCTCGGCGGCAGCGTCACAACCGACGAGGGTGATCTGGAGGACTTGGAGGACGACGTAGTGGAGGCCTGTCAGCTGTCTCATTCCCTTCCTCTTCAGCGTTATAAGCAAACCGACTTGCTATGTACGTAGGTGCTTTGCATGGGCCCTTGATGGTATTGCCAGGGATCGTAGTTCGCAAAGTCACTGGGAGGAACAATCCCGTCTGTGCTCATGTGCCTCCACGATCATGCAGCACAGCGGCTCACAGGATTCGTGCACACATTGCGCGACTATGCAAGCCGGTGGTGAACGAATCGGCGTGTGGGTGCCCTCCTCGCCATCCCCACCCTCCGTTCCCCCTCCTTTCTCCTTCGGTCCTCTTCCGTCCCCAGGATCTCAGTCGCCTGGAGGCCTTTCGAGGTCACTTGACCTTGGGGTTAAGTCGGGCCTGTCCCTCTACAGGACGAACATTTACAGATAATCAAAAAAAGTCTGGGGACGATGTTTTGAGCATTTTTGGGCATGTTGTGGGCATTTTTCGTATATTTTTC